CTTGTCAGCAACTTTGAACTCAGGAACCACAAAAGCTAGGAAGCTTAAAATTTAGGGCAATGTTTCGCACCCGCGTGTAACCCTGCAAATTTAAATTCAGCCTGCCCGTATCGGTGAGTAACACGCACGGCCCTGTGAAATTTTTTGGCGGAGAAAGTTATTATCTTGGGAAACACGAATGCTAGGAAACTGAAATTTTGTGAGTATATCCGCTCCTCACGTGCTATCCAGAACGTTTAAATTCAGCCTTCCCCTGCCCGCGGCTAAAACGCACAACCCTATGAATTTTTGGTAGGGGAGTTATTATCTCGGGAACTACAAAAGCAAGAAAGCTGAAATTTTATGGGTATATCCCCTGCCCACGTGCGATCCAGAAATTTAAATTCAGAGCAGTAAAAATCATTAATAGACAATCGTTCCGCGGACGGAAATGCACAGAACGCATGATCGCACCGGCTGCCCTGGTGCGCGCCGTTATTTATTTTTCTGATTAAATAGTTCCACTAAACTTGAAGTTTTCCAGAGAACAGCTAACTTTTTTCGATGGGACACGACCATCCAAGGGAACATATCTTGCAATATTGGGCCGTATATATGATGTACAAAAAGGTGCGAAACACTACGGTCCGGGTGGTGGATATCACTTTTTTGCTGGTAAGTTTTAAAACATGATAAATGGCCAACGCAATGATTACTGGTGCGAGGATCCCAAAGTATCAGCTCTATAGCTTGTATAGGTCTTGAGATGAAAAGTCGGTACAGACGCACACACAGATGCAGACACACACAGACACACACACACAAGCATAGACAACTCCTCGTCAATATGCGTTTTCTGCATTGCACAGATGCAAAAAATACATAAAAAGTGAATTTTGGATTTTTTTAACTTTAAATAGCATTTGGAAAGCAAACAATTTTTATAGGTCGTGATGCGACACGTGCTTTTGTCAGCGGTGATTTTTCGGAGAGCGGCCTTGTGGATAATGTGGAGGGCCTTGGCTACCAGGATTTGCTCGGCGTTTTTGACTGGGTGAAATTTTATGAGAAAGATTATGAACTGGTTGGTTATCTCCAAGGAACATACTATGATGCCTCTGGAAAACCATCTTCACGTTTAAAAGTGAGTTTCTTTACTTTGGATAGCAATCCAATAATCGTCAGAGGGTTATTTCTCCTGTTTCTGGCGCCAGCCAGCATGCCTGAAATTTGGGTACCATTTGTAAAACGGCTTAATTAGTCCCCTGGGAAAAAAGGCATCGGTCTGGTGCAAAAATGCATGTTCGCACGGGCCCGCCAGGTGCCTTCCAGCCTGGGTTTGCTATCTTTGCGGTGCTATCATTTTATTATGCGTTTTGTGCTGTGTAACAGCAGTAC